TTGAATGTTTGTCTGTGATTTGTGCATATCGAGATCCTCGTGGGTTCCAACATATACGATTAAAAAATGCGAAATGTTTACGCATAGTCATAAATTATGCGGCCGATTGGATATGCACTGGTTCATTTGGACATGCGAGTGTAATATCGCATAGCATTTCGTGAATTCTGGGGTGTAAAAGAAGTTATTTGACGGGGTGGTGTGAAAAAGAAAGAATAGATATATAATGGGGTGAAAAAGATTTTGACCCATTCTAGAATGCCTCAAAGACAATAAATTTTCAAAATCAGCTCGTAAATCCCTAAAATGATTATAAAGTCGAGTGAACGAACCTAGACAACTCAGATAATATATTTTGAGTTTTCAGTTTAAGATAAGTACTTAATATATATTTTGTGCTTATATATTTTGTAGCTTGTGGAGAGTCGAGCCTCCAACAGCTGCAAACCATTCAGATCTTACATTTCAGCATATCAGGTGGGGACCCTGTACTGGGTATTACATCTTCTATAATCGCAATACCATGGTTGAGGTATGTATGTAAGATTCTGCCCGAATAGGGGCAATTACCTAGCGAGTAGATCCTTTCTAGCTAGGTAAAACGAACGTTAGTTTAGATGAGATAAGAATTCTAGTGCAGCTTTGAGTTAAGTGAATTCAGAACTCTAGAGCAGCCTTGAGTTAAGTTTAATTTCAGATGATCTTAGAATAATGCTTCCCTAAGGAGCATTGATCTAGAGATAGGTTTCGTCATAACCAAGTGTTTCGAATTTCCAGTTAGTATCAAGGACTCTAGTGCAGTTGTGAGTTAAGCTCCAACCTTAGAAGTGCATAAGAGTTAGTTTTGCCCTAGTATGGGCAGTGACCTACAGATTACGTCCTTCAGTCGCTTATTGTGAGCGTGAAGACCTAGTGTCCTTCTCGCCTGTTAAGCAGTCAGTTGAGCAGAAATTATATATAGTAAGTTGAGCAGCTATTAGAGATAGTCAGTTGAGCAGCAGTTATAGACAATGTACTTATTTATACGCATTTGTGATGTGTTCTATGATATTAGATGTATGCTTAGGTTGTGATGTGTTCTATCATATTTGATGTATGCTTAGGTTGCGATGTGATTTATCATATTAGATGTATACTGAGGTTGGGATGTGCTTATCATATCATATGTATGTTTAGTTCGTGATGTTGCAGTTATAGTTAGTCAGTTGAGCAGCAATTATAGTTAGCCAGTCGAGCACCCATTATAGTAGACAGTTGAGCATCAGTCATAGTTATCCAGTTGAGCAGGAATTATAGACAGTCAACTGAGCATCGGTAATAGGCAGTCAGTTAAGTAGCAGCTATAAATAGTGCACCGATTTATGTATTAATTGGATAAATGTTCAATCAGTTAGTAAAATGTTCATCATCATATCGTTTCTGCCGATTCAGTAAGTACTTTCTTATATGTTGATGTCATGATATGTTATTATATTAGTTGTATATTTCAGTGCCGGTTCCGGTGGAGCACGTGGATTATTTATGCTCATGCCCCCCACTAACCATTTTTTCAGGTGATGGTGTCGAGCGTAGAGCGTGAGCCGATGATGTGGTGGTTGGTCATAGCAAGGATATTTTCAGTAAACATGTCAAGTATATTATAA